GGAGCTCTTGCTACTCTCTCTGGAGCGAAGACAGGACGTTCTCCTAAGGACAAGCGCATCGTGAAGGAAGAGACCTCACAGGATGACCTGTGGTGGGGAAAGTACGTGTGTTTTGTTTTTCTTTCTTCCACATATGGTGAATATATCTGAGCACATCACGTTTCCGCAGGGGTTCTCCAAACATTGAGATGGACGAAGAGACCTTCTATATCAACCGCGAACGTGCTGTTGACTATCTGAAGTCTCTGGATAAGGTATGCTTCTTTCATGTAACACCTCTGGTCGTATGGATTAGATGCTCAGTACTCGTTTTGATGCAGGTCTTCGTGAACGACCAGTTTCTGAACTGGGACAAGGACAACAGGGTCAAGGTCAGAATCATTACCTCTCGTGCTTATCACGCTCTCTTCATGCACAACATGTAAGGATCTTGCCAGTTTGCCTCAATCTCAAGAAGGTAAAAGAATCCTATCTAATTCATTGAACAACTCAGGTGCATCCGGCCTACTCCCGAGGAGCTGGAAACATTTGGTGAACCTGACTTCACCATCTATAATGGCGGAAAGTTTCCATGCAACCGTTTCACACATTACATGACATCGTCGACCAGCGTTGACATAAACTTAAAGAGGAGGGAAATGGTTATTCTCGGAACTCAGTATGCTGGCGAGATGAAGAAGGGGCTTTTTGGGTTCATGCACTATTTGATGCCAAAGAGAGGAATACTCTCACTTCATTCTGGCTGCAACATGGGAAAGGGCGGTGACGTCTCCCTGTTCTTCGGCCTTTCAGGTATGTTGACCGGATACTCCTACTGTAACATTCTCTTACGAAAAGGTCTACTAACTTCGCTGTTTTTCTGTAGGAACGGGAAAGACTACCCTCTCAACTGATCCTGAGAGGTACCTGATTGGGGATGATGAGCACTGCTGGAGTGACAATGGTATATCCAACATCGAAGGAGGGTGTTACGCAAAGTGCATTGACCTGTCGCCCGAGAAGGAACCAGAGATATTTAACGCAATCAAGTTTGGAACAGGTATTCTGCTGGTGTGTTTGCTCTTAGACCGTTTTTCAACTCCTGACCCTTGTCTTTTGCAGTCCTGGAGAACGTCGTGTTTGACAGCCACACCAGGGTGGTTGACTATGCAGACAAGTCTGTGACTGGTATGCTTGTCTTGTTTTGCTCTTGTTGATAACGTCATCCACTAACATGCTGATACTCACAGAAAACACCCGTGCTGCATACCCTATCGAGTATATTCCGAACGCTAAGATTCCCTGTGTTGGACCCCACCCGAGAAATGTCATTTTGCTCGCCTGTGATGCATTCGGAGTCCTTCCTCCTGTCAGCAAGCTGACCCTTCCCCAAACCATGTACCACTTTATTAGTGGATACACTGCTCTGGTGGGTCTCACCTGTTGGCCACTCTGAGAACCCGTTCATGTTTGAAGAGTTTCTCTTTCTGAATGTTGTGTGACTGACGCACCTTCTACTGTACAGGTCGCTGGAACTGAAGAGGGTATTAAGGAACCGCAGGCGACTTTCTCCGCATGTTTTGGGGCTGCTTTCATCATGTGGCATCCCATCAAGTATGCGGGTATGCTTGCTCAGAGGATGCACGAGAATGGAACTAGTGCATGGCTTGTGAACACGGGTTGGTCGGGAGGCAGCTACGGCGTAGGAAGCAGGATGAAGCTGGCATATACGAGGAAGATTATCGATGCGATCCACAATGGGTCTCTTGCATCTGCTACATATACGCCGACCCCAATATTCGGTCTTCAAGTCCCAGACCATGTTGATGGTGTGCCTCAGGAGATTCTTGAGCCGCAGAACATGGTGAGTAGACTATCCACCCTTGCAACAGATTTCACTTTGCTCTGCACCTCGTTCTCACTACCAAATATGCGGTGTTGTCTGCTAAACAGTGGACCGACAAGGGTGCTTACAATGCAACTCTGACGAAGCTTGGTGGCCTTTTCAACGCGAACTTTTCCAAATTCACAGAGAGCATGTCTGGTGTGGATACCACCCTGGCTCAGCAGATCCTCTCAGCAGGACCTCAGCTTGCGTAAAGAATTGTACCAGACTCAATAAGCACTTCTGTGTGCAAGTCCAGGTTATCCAAGTACAGTAGGTTACAGTAGGATGGGGTGTCTAATTCAGGCAATGAGGACAGTATGGCAAATAAGCCAGCAAAAGTTTGTATGGAAGTTAGATTGTTGTGTGTACTTTCAAAAAAGAATAAGAACCTGGTTAATAACAACACAACCACCACATCAGATGGCTTTATGTTGTGTAGATACAAGGCAGAATGGATCCAGGAAGAACTGGTGACACTCGTAGCTTGTCATGATTGCGATCAGTTCCTCCCAAGGGGCAATGACCTGCATGAGTAAGTCTCCTTCAGATCTTCTTTTCGCGACGAAGTGAAGATTGACGCATAGACATCTTTACTTGCACCAGCTGGTAGCCTGTCCACTGCTTTGAAATGATGCTTGACCTGAACCAAATCCGAACCTTTTGGTCGTGCTTTGTTGGCAACGCCTTCTGGTGTGTTCTTCATTCCTACCGTTGGTCCTTCTGCTGCTTTCCTTTTGACTCCTCGCTTATCAACCAAACCCCCTGCATCAAATGCTTTGCCTTCAGGGCTCAGACTACCAGCTGCTGCCACCCCTGCTGCGGTGCTTTTCTTTTCCAAGCTTCTTGCTCTGACATCCACCACTGCCACCCCATCAACACCCCCCACTGCAGCTACCTTCAGATCGTTCCCTGTAGCAACCACATCAACCTGAGAAGAAGGAGGAGCACCTTTTTTCTTCTTCCCAGCACGCCTGGAAGCCTGTTCTTCCTCCATCCGAGTGCGCAAAACCTCCACCTCCTCCTCAGTACCGTTAATTGGAATCTGATCCGTTTCCAGAAACTTGGCATGACAGACGAGACACGTTGGGGAGGGCAGTTCCTTGAGTGCACGAGCACTTAGCACATGTCCACAGGGGCGAAGGGCGACAAACTTGAAGCTGCCACTGAACTCCTGCTGAGTGATCGGACATTGGAACCTGCAATAGACGAATATGTAAGTGAGGATGGGGCACCATGAAGTGGAGCCCGTGAATCCAAGGAAACAAAGAGGAAAACTCGCTTCCCCACCTAGACTTGTTGGACCAACACAGCAACATGCGCAATCTCACACAAGCATATTATGTCCCTGTGACTGTCAGCAAGAACAGTACTCCGTGAATCTACCCATAAAGACATGGTGGGCCCGTCACCGGACCTTACACACAATCCACCGCATACCTGACATGAGCCTTCTTGTCAAGCCCTGGAATCTCCGTCAGCTGAATCCCAACGACATCCCTCAACCCCTTGATGTGCTTCAGCGCAACGGGAATGCTCTTCTCCACTAAGGCGCGCACCACGGCTTCCTTGTTGAACACGTTTCCGAGAAGGTCCACCACACAAGGAGGAGTAAGCGGCTCGCCTGACAGATGGCAGTGCGTCCAGCTCGCCACGCGCGTGTCACGCGGGTCCACCTTATCCGGACGGCGACCAGCATACATCTGCAGGTAGCAGTCACGCGACTCAGCTCCCGTGGCTCCACCATCACCACCTCCGCCTCGCAAGGGTACGGTTACATCTAAGGTATCGTACGGACGGACATTGAGGGAGGCTACGCTGGATAAGTGGTGACGAGACGACGCGAAGGGGAAAAGCTGACGACCTCCGTGAAGCACACGGAAAGAACTGGACGAACAGCCGAAGCAGCCTCCATGACGTGAGATTTCCAAGCTTAGAGTCTCGCCGCAACGCAAGGTTGACAAGGAGAGATCTATCAACGTTTGAAGAGACGAGTTGGGACAAATCGTGAGTGGAATTATGTGCGACTCGGGCCCAGGACCTCTGAGGAAAAGCTGCATGGTTGATGTCAGGATAGAGGCGAGAAGACGATGACAAGGTCGGCCTGCCTCAAACCAAGTATGTAGAACGAGGTCACCTCGTCAACTAACAACTGCCTAATCATCAGAGCAACATATGTCCGCTATTCTTGCTTTTGTGCTGCCGTGGCCAAGAAACACTAGCGAGACGCTTGGCCCTGTGTTTGACCTAGAGTTACCAGCTGGTGACGTCGCATGCTCTTTCGTCCTTCGTTCTTCGTCCTTCGTCTCCGTTTCGCTCGGGGTCTTTCCCACTCAATTCTACTTTTCAGGGCGTATTTCTGCACTTTGGGTCATCAGCACTTCGGGTCATCCGAAATTGTGGGATCCAATCGGAAATTCGGAATCAAGAGATTGGGGTGCATTTCGATTGGATCCCACATCTCGGATGACCCGAAGTGCTGATGACCCGAAGTGCAGAGATACGACCTTAGTAACACAATTTCCGTGCACATCAGCCATACACCGCAGAAGTCGGATGTTTGGGCGTGTCCGAAGAAATGTGGCTCATGACGTGGCTGAGTTATACTTTGTTGATCTTTTTGTTCTGAAATTTCAAGGTGACAATATTTTTCATTCGGTGAGTCTGAAACGAGTACACACCCCCCACCAATTCCTAGCCCAATTGTTCACCGACACCCTTGGGAACAAGAAGCACTTTCTTGCGGTGACACCTAGATCTTGGTGGCTTCTTCGCAGCAGCTGATTGGTGGAAAGCTGTCGCCAAACCCGTTACAGTGTGAAATCTGGAGACTGGTTTTCATCGTCACTCGTCGTTCACGCAATCCATCGTGCATCCATTGATTTTCCTCGAGATTCAGCCTAGAAAGAAAGGGGAGACCAATTAGTCTCGAGACAGATAAAGACCGCTAAATTGGCGATCTGCATCCATTTCACTTCACTTCACGTCAGCTCACCACCACCGCGTCATCTCCGTCTGCTTGTCCGGCTTTTAGTACTCCACCTCTTCTCGAGTCACCAGCTGTTTGTCCATCAAGCCGTTGCTCTCTCGCAAATTACTTTCCGGGCCAAAATTTAGTTCCTTTCGCTCGCGGCTTATGGCGTCGCGTCCTCAGAATGTCGGCATCCTCGCCATGGAGCTCTACGTCCCACCCAGCTTCGTCTCCCAGGTCGCTACATCTCTCATCTCCTGAAACTCGTATCTCATCTCGTTGTTCCTCAATGCATTATAGCCTTCGTATGAAGGATTTGCAGACGTCCCTTGTGCCCGCACCACTTCACAACACCCGTCGTCATTACAAATGGAAACAAATTTATGCATTGCTGCCATGGGTACGCCTCGATTTCACCATTCTAGTCTGTCGCTGCCTCGAGTTCATTGTTCCTGCGTAATGCGTCCCGACTTTGTTACTCCACGTACTAGCGTGAACCGCTTTTAGCGCGTATGCCTGATCCATCCATAACGTGTGGGGGAAATGCAGACGGAGTTGGAGGTGCACGACGGCGTGAGTGCGGGCAAGTACACCATCGGGTTGGGGCAGGACGAGCTTGGTTTCTGCTGCGACCAGGAAGACGTCATCTCCATGAGGTGCGTTTCATCTCTCGTCAGGTGGGTTTCATCTCTCCTTGTCGTGCGTTTCATTTCGATGGAGTGAAATACCTGATCTGGTTCTGGTGCATTGAAGATCGCAATCGAGGCGAAATCAAGAACTGCTAGGGAAGAACAGCATAGACACATCAAGCATAGGACTTCAGGAGATAGGCACGGAGACAGTGAACAACAACAGCAAATCCATCACATGCTGATGTAAGTAAATATTTTTTTAGTGAATTCTCCACTGTCCTTTCCCCCCACCCTTGCAATGCAGCCTGACTGTTGCCCAACGGCTCTTAGAGAAGAACGGCGTAGACGCATCACGCATAGGGCGGCTGGAGGTGGGCACAGAGACAGTGATCGACAAGAGCAAGTCCATCAAGACCGCCATCATGACTCTCTTTGAGGCCAGCGGCAACGCTGACGTGGAGGGCGTTGATTCGTGCAACGCGTGCTACGGTGGCACGGCTGCGCTGCTGAACAGCGTTAATTGGGTGGAGGGGTCGTCGTGGGACGGCCGTTTTGCCATCGTTGTTGCTGTTGACAGCGCTGTGAGTACAGGGAGGGACGTGTGTTGTTTGAGGGAGTTTGGGCGGCATGTGGGTACTGTGAGTGTGTGAGGTGGCATGCGTGGCATGTGGGTACTGTGAGTGTGTGCGGTGGCATGTGTGGCATGTGGGATATAACATGGAATGTGGCGTTGTTCGAGGGAAGGGGTGTGGGTATGCAAATCCAAGGGATGTGGGTTACTGGGCATGGGGTGCTGTACGCTTGCCATGCTCCATTCAGCGCCTCAAACCATATTTCTCTCCTAAACCCGAAACCCGAAACACTAAACCCCTGCCTCGCCTTCTATCCTGCCCTACCATAACCAGGTGTACGCGGAGGGCCCAGCGCGGCCAACAGGAGGAGCAGGCGCGGTGGCGATGCTGGTGGGGCCAGACGCGCCCCTGGCATTCGAGAGTGGGCTGGCGGGCAGCTATGCCGCCCATGCGTACGACTTTTACAAGCCCAAACTCGCCAGTGAATACCCTGTGAGTTGATTTTGCTCGGGAGTTCCACATGAAAGTGATGCTCAGTTCAAACCCTTGGTTGTGCCTCTGCTTGGACCTGAAATTTTATCCTTTGATGATAAGAGTGCTAGCAAAAGGAGTGTTGTGGGGGGGTATATTCCATAGAACCTTGTGAAATGTGCATGACCTTCCTTGGATTGCATTAGTCCCTGGTACTATCACCTGAGTACTTATCCCATCACCAATACGTTGCATCGTGGATGCATGTGTGCGTGCAGGTGGTGGACGGCAAGCTATCTCAGACGTGCTACACTAAGGCGCTCGACCACTGCTACCAACGCTTCTGTGACAAGTAAGCTCTCAAACGCCATCCCTTCAACAGTGAGCGTGCTCGCTCTTGATTCCGCTCGCCCGTTTGTTATAGAATTGGAAGCCAGCAACCTTTCGCGTTTCAACAAGCAATGCATGCTTTGAAAGTGCCTGTATGCATTCTTGCTGCGTGCCTGCCTGCTTGCCTGTGTGCTGTTTTGCAGGTACGCCAAGAAGCATGGCTCTGCGTTCTCACTGGCTGATACTGAATCCGTGGTCTTCCACTCTCCCTACAACAAGGTATGGCGGGACTGGTGCACGGCACGCTGGGTTCTAGCCATGCAAGTTGCTTACACATGTGCTTCAGGAAGCAGACAGACTGACACACCCTACTCACCAATTGATGAAGGTGCAGAAACTATGTCTTTCATAAAAATACGGCTTCGGATGTTTTATGTCATGAAATAGGACCATGATGATGCCATGGCCTATGCTTCTGCTCACACACACGTCCCCCTCCTCTTTTCCCCTCGTCCATCTCCCCTCCTCCCTGCGTGTCCCAGCTGGTGCAGAAGAGTCTGGCACGGCTAGTGTTCAATGATGTGAAGAGGGGAGTGAGCAGGTACGTAAGCACAAGGTGCCATAGCCTGTGTAGTCTGTATGGGCCAGGGCATAGACGCACTGTAGAGGGGACGGGTGCAAGAGGGAATGGTCGCAAGGGGGAACGGGCGTAGGGGCCAACATGGCTAAGAGCATAAGGGCTTCAGTTGCAGAAGTGCCTCCACGGCTGGCACTAATGTCATGATGGGTGGAGTGAACAGGAGGACATAGGGATACGGCATAGAGAAACTGTGAGGGCCAAGAGGGGCAGGAACAAGAAATCACATGAGATGTCCCCTTTTTCTTCCCCGTTCCCCACCTCCCCCGCCTTCCCCTTTGTCCCCCATTCATCCATTTCCTCCCGTGCCTATGCAGCGCATATCTGGGTGCAGGAGAGGCGGACGCACTGCAGCCGTTTGTGGGGCTGGAGGAAGAGAAGAGCCTCGTGGACCGAGACCTGGAGAAGGTGAGCTGCTCCTGTGGTTTCACCCTGCCTGGGGAAGGTGATACTTGGGGAAGGTGAGCGCAGGGGCACTCATCTGACCTCGTGGACAGAGACCTGGAGAAGGTGAGCTGCTTGCATGGTGTAGTTTCATTCTCCCTGGGAACGTTGATACTTGGCGCTTAACACCTGAATGGGAACGGGCATCATCTGAACCTCCTGGACGGAGAGGATCACACAAGTGCATTGTGGACAGAGACCTGGAAGGAGGTGAGCCGCTTGCATGCTGTGGACTTGCTTAAGGAAGGTGGTACTTGGCAAGATTTGTCAAGGACACTTGTAACTACTGTGATTAAGCCAGCTCCCTTAACCCTCTGTGTCTCTACACCTGTGCCCCTGTGCGCTGTGCCCATTCTCCTGCCCCCTTGCCTACAGACGGCCATGCGGGTGGCAGGGCCGGTGTACAGCAGCAAGGTGGGCCCCACCACCCTCGTGGGCAAGCGTGTGGGCAACATGTACTGCGCCTCGCTCTATGGCAGCCTCTCATCGCTTCTTGCACAGCAAGGGCAGCAACTGGTACGCGCGGTGGCTCAAAGCATAAGTGCACTCACAATGCTAGAGGAACTAGTGGTGGCAGCAGTCATAGTGCGGGTAGAATTGGTGGTGCGGGTAATGACGGTGAGCAATCAATCGTGGGAGCAACATGTACTGTGCCTCGCTCTATGGTGTCCCTGCTCACATCGGGAGGGCCATAGCATATTGCTCTTACCCTACGGCTCTGGCCTCATGTCCACGCTCTTCGCCCCTTTCATCTTCCTCCCTTGCGGTCCTCCTCTCCCTCTCCACCCCCATCAGGAGGGCCATCGCATATTGCTCTTCTCGTATGGCTCTGGCCTCATGTCCACCCTCTTCTCGCTTACCGTGCGCCAAGCTGCTGACCCATTCTCCCTCGCCACACTCACCTCTCATCTGGATGTGCACCAGCTGCTCGAGTCTCGCACCAAGGTGGGTTCGTGTGCGTGTGTTTGTGAGGGCGTGTGAATGCCCTCTTCAAGCCGCTGCATATCGCACCTTTCAGTGTGTATTGACTGTCGATCCCTTCTCCCTAGCTGCTCTCACACTCACTGTTCATCTCGAGAAGCACCAGCTGCTGGATTCTTTCACTCACACAGACAAGCTCCTCCCCTTCCTGCTCCCCTTTCTGTTACCAGGTAACACCAGAGGAGTTTGTCAAGACAATGCATCTGATGGAATCCCGATACGGTGCATGCTCCTTCACCCCAGCCACTCCCACAGATCGCCTTCAGCCCGGCACTTACTACCTCACGCAGGTGGATGATTTGTACCGGCGAACGTATGCGCGGAAAGGTGTAGATGCTGATAAGGCATCTGTTGATGGCGCAGTTGAGGCTGCTTCAAACGGAGTTGTGGTGTAGTGGGTGGAGAATACACTTGAGGTCCAAGTGCAGCTCCGTGTAGTGTAGAGGGTTGGGTTGGGTGATTACTTAACATTATTGTTACCCTATGGCCCCGGATATAGGCGCCATCCGATTAAGGCGCCGGCGCCTCTATCTGGAGCATGGCGCTTATGGCCGCTCCTCGATTATAAGCGCCCCCCCTAGAAAACCTTAACATATTATAAGCGCACGTGTAATTTTAATCTTATTTCTTGCTTAAAACGGTAACGAAATACATTTTTGCAGCGAGTCAGATTTCAATTTCGCTTCGTTTGACTCGCGAAGACCTGACTGGCTTCGCGTCCAGTCAGGATGTGCCGGCATGACGTGTCTTCGCCTTTGTGTGAACCCAGAATATCGCTTGCGCGAGATTCTGCTTTGCGACGCTATAACATTTCGACTCGGTTGAAATCAGTGCCCTAGATATCAGACTTCGGAGTCTGAATCAGAGTCCGTTCAGACTTGATTTTTGTACCTAGACTGAACTCAAAGAATTTATTTATGTACCTTGTCTGATTTCCAGAGTTTTTTCTTATGAGTTGTCTGAAATTTCAGCCTAATTTTACTAGGGTAGGCTGAGCCTCAGACTTGTATCCGGGGTACTTTCTGCGCGCTTATCGGAGCAAAGTTTCCTGGAAGTTTCCTTCAGATATGCCCACTTCCGAGATTGCAGTTGAGTGCCAGGACGTGAGCAACGCTGGGACATCCAAATACACTCGTTTGTCGAGAATATCTTCCAGTTACGCTGAGGAAAAAGTTGCGTGATTACGAGATTTTTGAAGAAAAAATCTCGTCACATGTAAGTTATCGCTAATGTATTGTAAAGAATAGGCGACTTTGATGCTGATTTGCTGAAAAAACATCTGCAGCACGCACTGGTGTGAATTGCGAAGTTCCTGATTCGTACTGAAAGTTTCGTGTGGCACTTTCTGATCCTCACATGCCACGCCAAGCAACAGTTTCTGCCTGCTGCCAACTCAGCTGCGTGGCACTTGGCCCATCTGATACAGATTGGGTGAACGATCGAATCGCTTGAAAAAGCAAATCCAAAACTGACAAAATCGGCACACATGTGAGAAAATGGGTACAGAACGGTAATCACACACACGAGAAAACGAAATGAGATCAGCAGAGCAGAAACAACCATGCGCTGCACGTGACAAAAACACTGGAACGCCGCCGACATGAGCAGAGGCGATGCACGAGCACGAGCACGTTGCCTGATGCGTTGGTATGGTAGGTTGTAATCAGCCTACATGCTATTATAACTGCTTTTACGAAACTGCATGAACATCTTCAAATTTGAATTAACTCTGACAATTCAGACAAAAAAATTTGTGCTTGTCTGAATTTTCAGACTAAAATTTTGAGGCACCTCTGACAGACAAAGTTCCAGGAGGGGTGTACTCTGAGGCCTCTGACTACCTCAAAACGAATCTAGGGGCCTGGTTGAAATGGCAAGAAGAAAATGAACGATTTGGTGCTCTAAATATATAATTTCTTATCTTTCATTATATAAGCGCCGGCGCTTATGGCCGTTACTCAATTACAAGCGGCCCCCCTAAAAAAAATGATTTTTTTATAAGCGCATATGCGCTACTATCCGGGGCCATACGGTAGCTTTTGATTCAGGTACTCCTATGTCAGAATGAGGAATGAATGGTTCCATTGATGTTTGTTGGGGTACATATAACAAACCCTAACTTCTGTACCCCCTAAGACAAACCTCACTACAGGCTACAACATTTGACACACCCCCATAGCCTAAGTGAGGGGTGTCTAGCAAAATCAAAAAGAGTACGGTCACAAGACCAGTCCAAAAGAAAACAAAGCTCAGGGTGGATCACAACGTCACCACACACTCTGAGCACAAGCAACAGTGGCCACAAGGCCAGTCCAAGAGATCACAAGTATATATAGCAAGTGTACAGACGAAGCAGGCAATAAACTCAAGTCTACACATGACTAGAACCTGAGTGAACAAGGCCTAACTGCACACAACACCTCTGGTGGTCACAAGGCGGAAGCGCCTTGGTGAAGATGTCTGCAGTGTTGGCCTCGGACTCCACGAACTCGAAGCGAGCCTGTCCACGTCTCTGCAACTCTCGCAGAAGAAAGTACCTGACGTGAATGTGCTTCACTCTGCTCTCCAGTCGCGGCTCACGACAGAGGAGGATCGACGCCTTGTTGTCAGTAAACAAGGTCGGTGCAGAGCTCGGCCGCTCACCAAGGTCGGCGAGCAAGAAGGTCAACCACCGCAACTCCTGTGCCGCCATGGCACCAGCGTAAATCTCAGCCTCAGCTGTAGAGGTCGAGACAGAAGAGGAGCGCGTGGAACGCCAGGAAACAGCTCCAGAACCCAGACTGAAACAGTACCCCTGAGTAGACCTGTGAGTCTCAGCGTCGTCAGCGTAAGAGGAGTCACAATGACCAGTGAGTACGATAGACTGCTGCCCTCCAAGAACTAGCCCCACGCCTGATGTAGTCGCTAGGTACTTCGCCACCCTCACAGCTGCCGTCCAGTGAACAGGACGGTGTCTCCCTGGCGCAACAAAGCGCGCAAGGATGCTGAGAGGGAAGGCGAGGTCCGGGCGAGTACAAGTCATCAGGTACATGAGGCAACCCACAAGCTCTGCGTAGGGACCACTAGGCTCAAACGGCTCGTCAGGAAAGGGACCAGTGAGTCTGTGGTCAACAGCGAGAGGTGTGCGCTGTACGGTGGAGTGCTGAAGCCCGAACCGCTGAAGGACCTGCTGCACCATGTGTGACTGTGAGAGTGTAATGGTGCGAGCGGCTCTGTCCCTGGTGATCTGCAGGCCAAGGTAGTGGCGCAGCTCACCAAGATCAGTGCACGTGTGTCTCTTCTACAGTTCGGACTTCACGTCTGCCAAAGCAACCCTGTCCGGAGTGGCGAAAACGAGGTCGTCGACGTAGACCTGAACAAAGAACGGTGTGGAGCCACGACGAACGAACAGCGACGGGTCGGCAGAAGACGGCTGGAACCCAAGGTCAGAGAGGGTAGAACGCAGAGTGTCGTGCCACTCACGAGGGGCCTGGCGAAGACCGTAAACAGGTCGCCTCAGCCTCCACTGGGTCCCAGGAGGGAAAGTGCCAGTGAAGGCCGAGGGACGACGTAACCAGACCTCCTCGTGTAGGCTGCCCTGAAGGAAAGCAGTGGAGAAGTCGAGAGAGTGTAACTCGTAGTCTCTCTGTGCTGCTACGTGTAGTAACACCCGAAGAGTGGTCATCTTCGGGGTAGGTGCGAAGGTCTGAAAGAAGTCAACTCCCTCGCGCTAACTGAAACCTCTAGCCACGTAGCGCGCCTTGAAGACCGGGGGAGATCCCGGTGGCCGCTTCACCCTGTAGATCCACATGCCGTCGACTACGTTCGCCCCAGGGGGGGGAACCTCATCGACGTAGGTGCCTGTGGATCTGTAGGAGGCCATCTCTGCGTCCATGGCAGCTCTCCACTGAGAGGCCCAAGGCCCTGACACTGCCTCAGCGTAAGTGCGAGGAGTCGGAATGTCAAGGGCGTCGGGGTCACCCTCAGGGGCGAGGAGCATGGCACAGAGATGAGGGGAAGCGGCCGCCAGGAACTCTAGCTCAAACTGCCTGTCCTCTAGGGCGTCACAGCCAAGGGCAGACACACCCCCGACGGCCAGAGGTCTGGTAGGAGGAGCAGCCACAAGCGTGGTGGCGTAGTCAAGGCGACGGGTAGAGGCAAAGTCAGTAACTGCGGCAGTAAGAGCGGACACAGAGGACACAGAGGCACGAGGGTGAGTAACAAGAGAGGCGAGAACACGAGAGACAACAGGACGGTACGTGCGGTAGTAGTCAGTGACGGGAGCAGGGAGCGACACGGTGAGGGCCGACTCAGGAGGAGACGGAAGCACAGACTGAGACAGACGAGGTGGACTAGAACAAAGTAAGGCAGTACGAAGGTCAGTGAAGGGAACAGGAGACGAGGGACGAGCACGAGGGGAGCGACGAGTAGCCCAAGAACGAGACGGAGGAGGAGAGGACAAAGGCGGAGAACTGGAGAAAACAGCGGGGGAGGAGTCAGGCGGAGGAAACGTGAGACCGTAGACAGGAGGAGAGGCGGAGGAGGGAGGAGAAGGGGAGGGGAGACCAAGGGCCCGAAGACCCGAGACAGGAGGAGGAAGTGGCTGCTGCTGCTGCTGCTGCGACTGCTGCTGCTGCGGACGCGGCTGCTGCTGGGACTGCTGCTCCTGCGGGTCCAGCTGCTGCTGCTGCTCCGCCAGCCGCTGTAACTCCCTCTCCTCTCTCTCCAACGCCAGCTGCTCGTCACGGGCACGGCGAACACGAGCCTGGTGCCTAGTCGGGTAGGGGTGGGGGGGCGGAGTAGTGTCCGAAGCAGCGGCAGCTCTAGAGTCAACCCCCGAAGAACCAGGCGCACCACCCCCAGAGGCAGCACTAACACCAGCTCCAGACCCAGGCTCACCTGAACCCGAAGGAGGCGCATCCTCACCACCAGAGGGAGCACCCCCAGTGTCCGCGCTGCCAGCACCAGCTCCCGGACGACAAGAGTCCTCTGCACCCACCGGGTCAGCTCCAACTCCAGAACCAGAAACTCCAGCTCCAACTCCAGCACCCCCAGAACCAGAAACTCCAGTGCCTCCTCCAGCTCCACCTCCTGCTCCAACACCAGCTCCACCTACAGCTCCAACACCAGCTCCAACACCAGCTCCAACTCCAGCACCCCTAGAACCAGAAACCGGTACAGGAACAGGCGCAGCACCAACCTCTCGAGAGCTAGCACCAGCGGCACGCTGCGAGGAGGACTGTGGGGAGGGAGGCTTTACCGGAGGGGTTACCGAAGGAGGAGGGGTAGCCTGGGACACACTTGACGGGGCTGGACCAGGGGGGGGAGGCTGTACCGGGGGAGCAGGAGGGGGAGCGGCAGTTAGGAAGAGGGGGGGAGGAGGAACCGGGAGACCTCGACTGGGGTACCTGACGTA